CCAGAATTCTCCAGCCAGCCATGCTGGCTGGGGAATGCTGGGAGTTGAAGTCCATACATCTTAAAGTCCCCAAGGTTGAGAAACACTGCTCTAACATAAGGGCTTATTCACACATCCCTGTTGTTCTTCTTCCCTCCTATCCACAAGATGGGAGGAGGGCATGTTCTTCAAGATGGGGCTGTCCTTGAAGACTGCTTGGAAGCTACATTTAGTCCAGAAAGCAGCAGCACGGGCAGTTATGGATAGGGCACAGTATGTACGTGTAATACCTCTGCTTTGCAAGCTGCTGTGGTTACCAGTAGGTTTCTGGCTGCAATTCAAGGTGTTGATTCTCAGCTATAAAGCACTTCAAGGCATAAGGCTTGGCCTGGTTGTCTGAGGGCCCTCCTGTCTTCAGTACTTTCTACCTGTCCCCCAGAGTCAGCATGCTCCAGATCCCTTTGATTGAATAGTTTGATGGGACCCAGGAAGCGGGCCTTCTCTATCATGGCACCTGTCCTCTGGACCAATACTCCCTTTGTCATTTGTATGGCTCCCACCCTGGCCATGTTTAAAAGAGCCCTGAAAACCTGGCTCTTCCCCTAGGCCAGTGTTTCTCAACCTTGGCAGGTTTAAGACATGTGGACTTCAACTCCCAGAATGAATGTAGACCCTCCAAAGATGATTGCAATAGACCGTCTGCATGGAATGTCTGCATATCTTCTGGTTTTTTGATGGAACATCCCACTTTCCTGCCAGAACACCTTGATTCAGATTCAGCCTGCTTCAGCAGCAGGCTGGCAATGAGACAGAGGCTCTGTTGCAAGGACATGATCTCCACCAACAGAAAAGTGGGCCATCCCAGAACCAAGGTAAGGTCTATGCAGCCATAAGGTCTGTTGCATGTTCCCCAGACTCATCTCTCTATGATTGGAAGGTCTGGATCAGTGTTTCTCAATCTCAGGGACTTTAAGACCTGTGGACTTCATGCTGGCTGGGGAATTCTGGGAGTTGAAGTCCACAGGTCTTAAAGTCCCTGAGAAACACTGGTGTAGATCAACTTCAGACAAGGCACCAAGGGGAACAACAGGACCTGCCGGATTGTGTGCTTGTAATGATCCTGGAGGTTCTTTTCAGGAAGGACCTTGCAGCAACGGAGCAGGTAGCGGTACAACTGCAAAGGGGTCTTTACCAATTCTACCCCCGGGAGAGGAGCCATCTTCCACCATCAGCTATGGAAGGAAAGAAGACAACATGATGATGCACAACCACCTTCTAGGCTGCCCAGATTGCACAAGGACTCCCTGGCGCCTGCAACAGATAAGTTTTAGGTCGTGGAATCAGCAGCCAGGGGACATTTTGAGGCTGTGGCTGCAATCAAGAGCTCATGTGCCACAGTCCGGGTTTGAAAGAGCCTCCCTTGCCCTGGGCTTCCTGAATGCCTTGGACTATATATTCCAGATTTCTTAGACTGCCTAGTGATTGGCTACCCCTGGCTCAAAATTCTGGCAGTTGCAGTATGGTGCATCTTTGGGCACCAGATGAGAAAATGCAGTTTAGTAGGAGGAGGGGACTCCATTTCTGGCCACCCATTATTTGCATTTTGTAACTCTTTGGGAACATGGTCAGTCTCTTGCAATGGGCAAGACCTCCACTGGCACCCCATAGCCCACAGAGCAGAGGGTGATGGGAGTTGAAATGTTCCTGTAATGGTTAGAAGGAATGACTTTGAGGAACAAGAAGAAGAGCCATTACCAAAACAAGGATTAGATAAAAGAAACCTAAGTCCAGGGTGGAACAGAACTGTAACCTGAGAAAGTGTCTCAGACAAGACCTCCCTAGTTCTCATGAAGATAAAGGGAGGGAGGGGGGAAGCACATTCAAACTTGGGAGATTCTGTTTCTATAACCTTATAATAAAAGTAATACAGTAGTGGTCTGCATGACTTTGGTTTCCTAGTCTGGTCTACCTCAAAGGACTGACAGCTCTAGGAAGAGAGGGCAGGACATGTTGAACCAAGGACTCGCGGCAGAAGAAATGGGACTTCATATAAACATTAGGAAGTTTTTCCTAGGGCTTTTCAACAGTGGTACAGACTAGCTTAGAAAGGTGATAGACATTATGTTAATGAAGATTTTTAAACAGAACCAGAATCACTTTTAGCAGAGATACTGTAGCAAGAGATCTCCTGCATCAATAGGGGGTTTGGCAACATGAACATTGAGGATCCTTCCACCTCCATGAAGCTGGGAAGTATTGCTACATGGGCCTTTTCTTCCAAAATACAAGCTACTGAGTTCATAAAGGCTTAAAGCAGTGTTTCTCAATCACAGCAACCTTAAGGTTCCT